GGGGGGGGGGTTACCTCAGTGAGGTAGAGATAGTGTTGAAAGGCCAACGTGACATCTCCGTTGATGTGGATCTCTTGTTGCCCATAGATGTCCTCTGGGCACACCTCTCTCCCAGACACGGCGCTCTCCCACGGGAACTTCAATCCCTGGAAGATAGAATCTGCTCTTAGACTTCAGACTTCATTGCTGTCGTTTCTGACTGTTAAAATATGGAAGCTGACCTGCATGCAGCAGAGTGCTGCTGACCACCTGGACAAGTTTGTATCTTGATTTGAGAATTTTCCTGACATTATTTTAACCCAGTATAAACTCTTCCTTAATTTTTTAAAACTAAAGTATTCCTCATTCAACTGAAGCAAAGAACTAACTGCTACAGACAGAAGGAAAGATCTGAAATAACCAAGGTTTTGTGACAAATTAGTGATTTTTTGAATGGTGGCTGAGTTTGAATTCAGGGGATGCGTCCTCTGAAGGCCAGATTCATAGGCCGATTACATCATAGCGCGGCGCCGAGGCCTGTTCGGATTGGAAGACTCCTCGTTATGCGGCCGACAAATACCTCCTCCTTTTTACCCGTTTGAAGGACGGTCCGCTGTATCCTCCTGGTATCCCATGATTCATTGGGAGTCCAAGCAAGCCGGTGTTCTGTCAGATCAGTATACCCATAGTCAATACGCATGCACAAGACGTCAAATTAGCATTTATTCCTTTAGTTTCGTACAAAAAATAGACTTTAAAATACCTCAACGGACGGGTATCCATTTAGTTTAGTTATTTAAAAACACCAAAGAGTAAGTAAATAAACTGGTTTTTGTAAACGACTAAAGGGATACACGCCCATTGAGGTAGATTAAAGTCATTTTTCACATAAAACTAAAGGGATAAACGGGTATTAACAATAGGTACGCTCATCTGACAAGAACACCGGCTGCTCCATGCTCTGAGGAAAAAGGGAAATGGCGCCGACCAGTGGAGAATATTGGAAGTGCAGCTTAATATAATCCAAGTATGTGAATAGAAATGAATGAAAATAGTTGTTTTAACGGTTAGAGTCAGATATGTTGCAGATAATGTTTGGTTTATTGAAAGGTTTTGCATTTAAGATCAGATTCTAATATCTCTGCAGTGTTGAGACTTTAAATCTGATGTCTGAGACGACGGTACCGCTGCTGAAGCTCATCCAAAATATTATTAGCACCCAGAACCGCAGTGAGAAGTTCGGCATCCATTCTTTGCCTGCTCTGTGTCTCAACTGTCACGGTTGCTAGGCGACAGAGCACACAGGTGGTGAAAGCCGGAGAGGGCTGGACCTATTCAAATCCACAAACCTCCTTATTTTCATAGAGCTCCTGGACTGGGTCTACCTGGACTGGGTCGCAGGACGCAGCCTCTGAAATCAAACACCCATCGTACCTTATAGCCCTGCTTCTGGGCGTTGTCTTTTGCGCCATCTATCGTTCCCACCCGGTACTCCAGCACAGTTCGGGCGAGCTTAGGGTAGAAAAGAGCAATTCCTGGATACATCCAAACATCCTGAGAGGAAGAAAGGGGCTCTGTGTGGGATTCACATCGACATAAACAGCGAAGGTTCCAATCGGCGAGCGGGAGCCTCACCTGATCCCAAAAAACATGGCCCCAGTAATCCTGGCCGTCGCCGCCATTAGAGAGCCCGCCTGGACTCACCCCTCCAAAGCAGCTGGAGGTGTCATGGATGGACGGGAAGGCGCTAAGAAGATAGAACATGCAGCCGATAAGAGCTTTGCAGAGGGTCTCAGAACCCGTTACTTCCACCTTGCTCTGCAGCCACAGCTCCTTCCAGGCCTCCTCATGAGACGGGCGAAGGTCTCCGGTCACCATCAGGTTCAAGCCCTCATCATAGCTGGACGTGGCAGCTTCCAAGCTGTTGGCCACGACCAGGAAGAACCCCCAGCGAGCGTTCGTCTGCTGCGGCAGCAGCGTCAGAGAGGAAGGAACGGGCGTCCAGATAAGATGGACGGTGGGACAGGAGCCTCCGGGGAATTCAGCCGTGGTCGTTTGTCCTTCAATGTGCCTGGATGGACATCAGAGACAAAAAAATCTTCAAACATGATCCGTAATCACCGCCACAGGCTTTTAGGAATACATTTAAGACTTTATTTTTTTATGATAAGCCAACAAAATGTGGTGCAGATTCGAGAAATTTTCACGGAAAAAACAAAACAAAAACAAACAGTTTTTAGAGTTTGCAGATTTAATTAAATGTTAAAGCTATAGAGGAGGATCTTTTATTTCCAGGTGGATCATCTCAATAAGAGGTCCTCCTAACTGTCAATCATTGTGGTGATACGTTTACGTAAGGCCGTCCCACATCCTCTCCCCGTCAAGCCGCTCATACACTGTACGATGTTTTTGTCCTTTTCGGGCGAGAATCTTTCAGTCGGGCCGACTTTCAGCTTGATGGCCCAAATATCCAAGGCAGCGCGTTTCACTCTAGTGAGCTTCATGTTCCTCTGCTACTGGTTTGGCTTCAGATAGACCAGTCCCAGTAGCGCCATCTCACTGCGGAGCTGAGTCCCACCTGGTTTTTA